AACCGGTTTATACTGGTCGCATCAGGCTATAAACCGGTTTATACTGGTCACATCATGCTGGAGATCGTTTAGGTTTCCTTGAAAACAGGCTCCACCCATTGATTAGGTGTGTAGGTACCTTTCTGACTGGGTTTGTCTGTGTTTAGACTGTTAGCTCTGATCTTCAGGCTGGGGGGTCATGCTCATGGTCATGTTTCGTATCACTGCACATTTGAAGCTAACTTGATGAACCTCTGCTCCCTCTCAGGTTCTGTTTTATGTGTTTAATTGTCAGCAGTTGCAGAGAGCTGCTGGCTGGTTCTGTTTCTGACTGCGATGGAGGGAGATGTTTATACTGTAAATAGCAGGAAGAATATTTATTCCTTCATTTGTTTCAGTGTTATTGTTGTTCTTGTAAAGCACACAGAGGCAGACAATCATGAAAGAAGATTTGAACGTTCCACCATCAGAACCGAAGCAAAGGATCCAGCCATCATGGCAGAAGGTTCTGGATTGCTCTAAGTGTAACGTTGTTGTTGTGACTGAACCCTGTACATGTACAGCTCTGCTGCTGAACAGAACATTATCGTAATAAAAGCTTTTATTTATGTTGTATGATTCAAAAACTACAAATAAAACTATATAAACAGACATGATGTACCTGAGGATTTATGAACTGTGATCCGTGCTAGAACACAGGCAACTAACGTAGAAACGCTGTTCAATGCCACTAGAGGGTGCTGCTGCTGATGAGACTTATCGTGTCACTTCCTGTTTTGACTGCTTAGCGGCGCGCTGTTCGGGCTATCGTTCTTTTTTCTTTATCTCAGTAACTCTAAGGCCACCTCTCAATATGCGTTCCTGAGCGTTCTCGTGACACGTCATCAGCCTCAGCCTGAGCACTGTTGTTGTTCTGGACCCTCCCTCTTTACCCAGCATGCATCAGAGCAGACTTCTCCGTTCCCCAGACTGACAGCTGTCCCAGCATGCACAGCGGCAGCTTTCAATTGAGCGCCCCATTGAAAGTTAAAAGTTCTCTTTTCTGTTGCTGTTGTTCAAGAAAAATACATTTTAAGATCATTTGTGGCGAGAATATTAAACTTTAAGCTTCACTATACGGAACATTTACTGATTTAATGAGTAATTGAAAAAACTATTTACGAAGTTGAGAGGACCGCGGCAACCTGCGGACCTCCGAGGCTAACAGCAGTCAGGGCTAACGTTAGCCCGTCTGCAGCGGCCAGGGCTAACGTTAGCCCGTCTGCAGCGGCCAGGGCTAACGTTAGCCCGTCTGCAGCAGCCAGGGCTAACGTTAGCCCGTCTGCAGTGGCCAGGGCTAACGTTAGCCCGTCTGCAGCGGCCAGGGCTAA